AACGTAAGATACAAATTAAGGTAACATGAAGGTTCAATATGGAGATAGTAGAATTACTAATAGGATAGAGAGCTAAACTAAAAATAGGAAATGTAGCTTGCGTAAAGTCAATTATCGTAGCCAAAAAGTAATAAGTGCAAGTAAATACCAAGCAAGCCATGGCCATGCTTCCTAATGCAGCATTGAAGGGTGTTCTTAATTGTTTCTTTGATAAAATAAGTGTAAGGATTTGAACGTTGGCAACTACAGTTATAAATGCTAAGCATTGTTCGGTGATTTTGGCAATCTTATATAGGGTATGGATGGTCATAATCGTAGAATTCCTTAGAGCTGAATTGTTCATAATTTTTGATGATGGAATCGTTGCTAATAATTTGACAATAATTTAGACTAAAGAACCAACAACTGGTTGGAATGAAAATAATTATCTAGAGTCTAGATACCGTGTATTTTCGTCTATAAGCTATGGAAAGCAATTAATGAAATGTCGAATTATGTTGATACAGCTATATTACTGTTAGGCGTACTCTTAGGTTGCAAGTTCCGACTGTAAAGTATAAAGGTCAAATAATTTCTTTATAGTTGCCATAGCATCCTACAGTAAATAAGCAATGTTCCATTATATAGAAACATGATACAATTCCATTAATATGGTAACAATCACGCCAAAATATAAGAATTTACTCTATCCATGGATTGGAAGGAACTAGATGACCTCTGTTGAAGTTTAAATTATCAAATGGAGCTTTGTTACTCTATAACTTGATACATTATTAATTGTCTATATAATGTGTTGTACCCAGTCGAGACTTCTCTTAACTCACAATTCCTTATTCATGGACACCGTTCCTTTTTTATTGTTTGACTTTTGTTATCTCTAAGGATTTGAAACAGATTACTAAACATATTTTACTTTCTACTATCAAATTCATTTTGGGGGTATACATTATTAACGAGATTAATTAGCCGACAAATATTTAATTAAAATATCAAAGACTAAACTGCATTCGCAGGAATTATTGCATCAGTTTAATTCAGTTACCACATTATAGCAGCTGAAAATCAAGTAATGTCAACAAAATGAAATATTATAGTGTTTTTTATGAAACTAAGATCGTTTATTAATAATTTTCAAATGAGCTATCCATGATTATTTTTCTTAGCACTACAGTAAAATAATAAGGTTAATACATTAGCGCTATTACTACATACACTCGTTTGGTACCTGATACAATATCAAGAATTTGTACGAATCTGATATATGGAACAAAAGCGATATGAAATACTATTTTATAGAGAGATTTCTGCAATAGATTTGTAATAATTTAAGACAGTTTGGTATAGTACTTTACAGTTCGAAATTGAAAATGTTTGCTATGTCAATATTATGAAATAGCTTCGTCCAGAACGGAAACTAAATTCTCTAATCGAATGCTTACACCGATTTATTTTACTATGGTGGTAGGATACTGCTGAATGGAACTCAATTTGTGATCAGGCTAGTAGCTCAAAGACAAATTTATTGACATTTTCGATCAAAGAATACATTCCAATTTCAAAATAATCATTTTAGGAGCTGTTACGGTTTAAGATATTATGTGATAATGTTATTGAAGTAGAAGTAGACGATTACGATTAGATAATCATAAATATTATGATCTGTTAATATTGTGAGGTTCAATCGTTAATGGACTTCCATTAACGAATGTGTAGAAGTAAGGTATTTAATATGCCAATGACGTGTAATAACCAAAATGGCGGTTGTCACACTTGTAGGGAATCTGTTAGATCTTAAATTGTTAATTGGCGCTATAATATTATTAGCGCATAATAATATCAATTATCACATATTTGTTCGATAGTAATTAATAGGATTACAAAGTTATAGAAAAGACTAAGTTATGTATAAGAATAATTAATAGGTGGAAAAGGTGTAGATTTGATACAAGTATATAAGAGGTTGTAATTTACCTCGCTAGAGAGGAGGAAAATACGGAGACCTAATAAAGTTAGTTTAGTAAATTTATCCAGACGCTTCTAGTCCACCTTTACTGTTGACCGAGGTCCTTCGCTGAAGTGGAGCGAGTAGTGACGCCTGGTGGCAGTTTTACTATAGGACAGAGGAGAGTAGGATAAGTGTGGAACGGGAATTCGATTGTTGCAAACGACGTTGTGACAGGAGCATTTATCCATACTACAGATAGATATTCCTCGTTCATTATTTCAATATAGCTTTAAAAGTACATTATATGATATTAAATTAAAAACAATAAAGAAGAGAGAATTCAATCTAGAAGAAGGAAATGACTTTAATTCCTTTTGGTATATTATTGGATAAATTTTGGAACCATTGGCGAAATTTTTTCCCAACATCAGGTGTCAAGTAAGCGTACTGTAGTGGACAGACGAAAATATGTACATGTAGACAAGTAGCCCAAATATATAATTAGTCGTCCTTAACGCTATACCTGCTGTATAAGCGTTAATGATATTCCAGTTGTAAAATGCGGAATCGAAGAAATGTAAAAATTTATTAATAAGCAAATCATTGTTTTACTGCTTTATCTTTGCTGTATTGACAGCAAGACTCACTGGCAATGGTATTTTTTCGACTCTTTCTTTGGACTATTGATGTGATGAATATGGCGCAAAATAATGTAATACAGCTGAAGACTAGCAATAATGATAACAAAAATGGGCAATATAGCCACTATTCCTACGTATAAAATGTAATAAATTATTCTTACAGTTGTTTTACTCTGCCGAGAAGTAATGGTTGCGCTATAATAACACGTTAAGTATCCACTAGCTTTCATCTGAATGACGTACACGAAGGCAAATACGACAATCCAAATCGTTGCTAAAGCTATACTAATTGTCTTTTTGGTAACATAATGTCGATATGCAAAAGGGCTCGCGACGAAGAAATAACGTAACATAAAAACCAATGTGACATGGAGATTTAATATAGAGGCCATAGCATCGCCAATGGGTAAGAAACCGAAATAAAAAACGGATAAGAGAAAACTGATAAACGGACCAACGTGGATGGCAGCAAACTTGCAAATGTAAATAATAAGGAAGATGCAGCCATACTTACTAAAGTTGCATTGAATGACGTTCTTAATCGTTTTTTGAATATGATTAATAGAATTATTAGCTAATTGATCATAGTAATTTCTCATCTTAGGGATTGCTTTATAAATAGTCCAATTATAAAGAAGATGTTAATCTTAATTAAAGTGCTTGATATTTTAACTTTAAATTGTATACTGTATGGAATCGATAGAATTAGCTTTCGTCTAATGATGATACACATTGATGACATGGAATTAATTTGTTCAAAATTATTTGAAACTCTAATTTCAGTATACATCGGTGTATTGTTAGGCTGCATAAAGAAAGAATTTCAATAGATTTTGCTCGAGTATGATCAATTCGGTGGTGTCTTAGGTTGTAGACATTTAAATGATGGATTACCTCTATATTAAACTGATCGAAGTGGCCTTAATACTAACTATTTGGTTTGTTTATCGTTCGAAAAAACGTACATATAGGATGACAAAGATTCGATTCCACGATAAATTAAGTTAATAAAATCCTTGATGGATTGAAATAATATTAATTCGGTCTCGTTTGTTAAATAGTATTATTTATTTTGATTCTGTGTGACATAAAACTAATTAATATAATAAGCAGAGGTTTATTTTCGCTTATAATTTAGATTAAATATAGAGCGAATGGCATAAGCCTTATATGTAACTCACATAATTACTTTAATTAAATTTCAATTTAAGAAGAAATGTGCATCGCCTTCTCTTTATTTCAACTTTTTAATATACTACGGAACTAATGTAAATATTGTACTGTAGCTACTTGATGTACAACACAGATTTTAGTATACCAAAGAAAAAATACTGAAACCTAAATTGTTCTCCTATAACTACTCCCACTTAAATTTAATACAATTTAATTTCATGCCGCAAAACGGATGTATTATTGATTATCCGAAAATAATGCTATTTCAATATTGCCAGAGCAAATAGGCAATTTTGCTAATTAACATTGCTGTTGGTCAACGCAATTGCTTTTATAGCTGCGTGCTATAGTAGTCGTATTACCTCAAAGGTGCTACATACGACTCTAGTCTGTTTGTTATGAGCTTCGAAAGTACACTACAGCTACAGCTGCTCATGATTGAGAAAGCAGTTTTTGAACTAATATCTTGTCATTTCGATGTGGTCTAATTTCGTACTAGCAAATGATATTCGAAATAAATAAAGGATATGCGATAGTTTAATTGTGGAAATTATTCAAGAAAAATTTTACAGCTGTTGAATCATTTAACGCAACGATTAACTTAGAGTATCACCTTGCAGTCGCTGTTGGTTGAACTAGTTTTCAGTAATATGTGAAGGTTTACAATATATTGCAGTTGCAGAATTTTAAAAACGTCGTAGAAAAAGAGCCACTCCTAATCATGGACCTCTAGAAGTAGAAGTCCATGCCCTGATGTAATACACAAGAAATAGCTAAGTAAAACTCAAGCATTCATTTCAGATATTAATAAATCGCATTAATATCGAATCTTAAAATTGACTATGAAAATACTATGATTAGCATTCAATATTACTCAGGCCAGATAATAAAAAGTATTATATGGGTCTTGATAACGCAGCTTGTAAAAATCGTATGCTGGTTAACTTCTAAAATAAGTTAAGAGTAGTAGATACAAATATTGTCTTCCTTATTTGACAGAAACATACGACGTTAACGACAGCATGAGAAGTTACAGAAAAATGTGGCTAAAAAATATGAACAAAATTGGAAAGGATTTCTTGTATCAAAGAGTGTCGTCCTTTTAATATTCGTAGAACTGAAAGTTGAACTTGACTTGAAGGGTGAACTAGTTATAATTTTTGCAACATTGTAACAGCCCAGATCACATGTTTTCACCGATCCTGAACAGACCGATTGTATGACTCGTTGACTCTTATCAACTACGACGGTTTAAATTTTTTATTTTCAGGTTGTTCACTTTCATCTTCTTCGGGTTCAGCAAAAATTGTTTTAGGTTGTGTTCTAAGTTGTACCGATATTTTGATGATTAAATATCAATAGGTTATTACAATTGCCTGCTCACAAATAAATTTTAAGCAATTTGTTGATTTACATACATAGCATAAGCAGGGGCTATCCAGTAAGGATCTTCTTTGGCAGTCTAACATGACATTATATCAAGGAGTAACATCAATAGGTAAATCACATGGAGGAAAACAGAACGGTCCATCTAAAAACCTATTTACCTCGGCATGTTTAAGAATTGCTGCTCTAGCATCCTCTTCTTGAAAATTCTTTATGTGATCAGTTGCTAAATTTTTTACGATATAGGCTGATAGCGAACCGCCAGACCTAACACGGCCGCCTTTACCTAAGGGAAACGGTACATGTATCACAGGTACACAGTATTACTGAAATTGCCGATGCATACGTGACTTGAAAATAATTATAATTATATAGAGTGATAGTAGGTAGATCGCAACATTGATTTACACACAAGAAATCTAGGAGTGTAATTTTATCAGCAGCCAGGGTAAATTATATCATGAGTAGGTATTGTAAAAGATTCTTACCAGGTCCTGTTACAGGCAACTCGGGTTTATGTGACGCAATGGGATCTTGGCGATTTTTGTCTTCTGCCTTTTTTGCGTTTTTCGGTTTACTCTCTCGGAACATTGGTAATGCATGAGCTAAAATAAAATAAGGACAGCAAATATTTTATCAATAGTAACCAAAAGAACATTCTAGTTTAATTCAAGTAGTGAAGCTTTATTAGACAAGTTGTTGTAGTCGTAAAATATCAGATGACTTACGAGTAATTACTATTGGCCTGACATTCATTACGATACCATCAGTTTTTCGAGTAGATTTGCTGGCACACAATTTCGCACCCCTACATTAATTTAAAAGAGATCGTTTTGTTTACTGTAGATTTCTTTAATATAACGCATGCAATAGAATTTAATGCAGCCACAACTATTGCGTACTTAGTGCTCCTTAACGGATCGAAATATAATCGAATATCTCCATTGGAGCAACCAATCATGATTTGATTAATTTTATCGTGCCATAAACAAGCAACCACGCTCTGTTATTTGTACAAGTGTAAATATAGTTAATAGATACTGCATACAGTAGCCAAGGAGGTAAAAAATATCCAATTCACTTACTGCATCAGGTATATTTATTTCTTGAATTTTGTTAAAATGTGTAGTATCATAAAATACTAATGAAGCATTCCCCTACGTTATCGTATATAATCGATCGATTGTTAACATCTCATAGTTTAAGACTAATCACAACAGTAACAGCATACTTTGCCCTTCCTAACTGATGTCCCAGTTGCAAGAAATGTTTCATCTGGGCTAAACAAGCACGAAGTCCTAACAGAGCAAAATTAAAATTGTTTTTTTAAATTGAAACTAGTCATTCTTAAATTGATGATATTTTGTTAACTATGATTAAATTTTGGTCTTACATAGAATAAAGATTAACTAGGTCATTCGCTACAAACAAAGGTTTCTTGGTTGAACGAACATCCCACACTTTTAACGTGTCATCGCCTATAAAATTACATTAATTTCAGTACTTTTCACGCGGATTAGAAACCTATTTGTATTGTGCAATCAAGGAATAAATATGATCTGAAGTGGTAGAAGAGTTATTGTTTCTACATTATTAATAACATATTAATCAAATTGTAATTGTTCCTACATGCACGAGATGCCAAAACTTGACCACTAGCGCGAAAAGATATGCTAGAAATATCGCTGCCATTGGCATGGGCTCCTTTAATCAAGACGGCAGGTCGGACCTAAGTTAGATAATTAACAGTGAAGTTAAAACTCTTTCAGCATTAATAAGCTTAACATTTTAAACCAAGAGAGATGGAAATTCCTGATGAAATTCAGTATTAATGTACCAATGGTTTTTTGGGATCCCATAGCTGCAGTGAACCGTCCTAGTTTTATGGTATAAATTCTTTGTGAATTAAAATTAACACAAAAATTCAAAATCTAAGTGCTGCTAACCTGACAACCACCTGCCACCAGCCTACGTCCTTTGCTGTACGTACATGTCGTCGGTATAGTTCTCCTGCCTGTAATATTAATTGTATATAACTTACTTTTTACGAAATACTAAAGACAGTAGTAGATGTTACAGTGCTTACGTAAACTTACCGTCTGAGCCCTTCGTTTTTATTATTGTTTTATGTTTTTTAGAATTATTGACGTCCCATAATCGTAACGTTCTACGATAATCGATGAAAAATGATATTGGTTATAGTAATTAATCATAGATAAGTTTTAGAGATTAAGGTAAATTTAGTACCTACAGAAAGTACACCAATGATGCAAGTATACGACTTACCCATCGTCAGAACAAGTCATAAATTCTTCATTAGCGAAAGGATCCCAACAAGCACGATGAAGCATTGCAACATGTCCCTTGAAAGTATTAAAAATTTTCAGCAACTATTGTCAGGTGTATATTTGATACAGATATTATCATAATTACAGACGTATATGAAAGTGCTTGTATATTACCTTAGTAGAAGCCATGTCAGATAAGTACTGATCGCCTTTGACACATTCCATAATTTCCATGCCATCTCGATCGAGAACTTTTGCCTTAATACGAAATTTATAAAATTAAAAATAAGAGCAAAAATGTTTAGTTTTGAAAAAGAAATTTGCAATTATTTAATAAGGAGGACATAATTAATGGTTTGTACTTGAGCACTGCCAGATGCAACCAGAATCTTATCACCAGTAGAGCTGAACTGAAGTGACTTAATTTGATGACTATTATAAAATAAGTGATGATTATGTTTACATTAAGAAAATAACACAGAAATTACTCAAATTACTATTCTAATACCTTTCACACGGTGTAACGGTTCGAAACGATTGCAGAGCCGCAGCCATACCTCCAAAATCCCACAGTTTCACCTTTTTAGCATCAAATAGGGTAGAAATAGGCGTTAATGACCATATATATATCAATGGTAGTTTAGCTCAATATTGTATAATAAACTATATACATCATAATCAACGCCTCCAGTCGCAATTCGTCCACCACCGCGGTCAATAGCAACAGCAGAGACCTATTCATACAACGGTTAGAAGTTTTACAGGGGCAAAGTATTCAAGCCTTAGCACGTATTTGTAGTATGTTATTAATGCAAAAGAAATATATCTGATTCTCCACTCAAACGTAGCAAATTGCAGTTTGTTTCTTCATACCGTTTTTCGTCCATGATTTAATGTTATATGACGAGTAGTAGGTATCTTTGATTCTAGATCTTGAGACTAATAAGAAGGAATAAATTTGAGGAAAAATTCACTTGTTTTTAACGAAACTTTGCAAGTAATTTCGTCGCTATTTTTATGTAGTGCTATTAATTGTAGTATAGTTATATTATACTACACTGATAAACTTGCTGCTACAATGGACCTGTAACAGAGAAAACTGTTTGAAAGTATATAAAATAAACGACTAATCTCACTGCAGATAGTATTTGTATTTGGAAATTCGATCATTATTTGATAAATCCATTTTTATTCAGGTACTGTGCTTTTAATTCTTAATACTACTGATAATTTACGACAGCTATTAATATGCGCATTTTATTGAAACGATAACATGCGACATCATTTAAAAGTATTACCTCGATATTAGCTTCATTTCTATCGAATTCATCGTCCATGTCACTATCATCTGATTCCGCCGTCTTATTTTCCTAATAATATGAAAAATGAGGAGTATTAATGACCAAATATTTCGTCATGATGCTGGAGAGGTAATTATTCATAAGTAAGTAGATAAGTAGAGGTGATATAATAAGAATATTAGCAAGTTTACAGCTGGTGCATCGGATCTATCATCATCGTAGTTGCTTTCTTTACGTTCGAAATTAGCTATGAGGAAAGGGCAGCAGTGGAAAAGTCATGGATAGAAATTTGAATGACCACTAATGAATATCGTTTGATCAATCAAGTGTACCTTCTTTATAGCTACTGGTGTTGCCTATACTTTGTTTGACCATTTCTTCGATATCAAATACTTTAGCAGTTTTCTTACCTGAGCATAAAAAAGACATCAGTTAAGATATAAGTTTTGGAATTTATGCAGTCCATGATAATTCAATATTATTAGTTAATTAATTATATTACATGCAATTATTAGTTATAATTGCACAGATCTAGCACAGCTCACATTGATACGAGTGCCATTTCTAGTCATAATTCTATAGTGCATTGCATACAAATATATATACGCAAAGTTGTCATTTAGCACTTTATTGCTGTACAAATAAGCTGCTAAGTAAAGCTAACTCCATTTATGTTCTCAATACATGTAGTAGAAATAATAAATGTATGCATGCTGTAGGGCGCAGAACAACCTACCAAATCCTGAAATTCCCATTACTTTCATAAGTTGATTGTCTTCGTTGTTATCTTCACCAACAGATTTACTACTGGGTTTCCTGAATTGATTTTGCATGGGAATTTTTCCATGACCTTTCTTAAGAGCTAATGGATTTTAATGGTATTGAGAAAGATATGATAACAAGATGCAATCTACGTCCATCAATGATAACCACAAGTTTATTATTACAGACAGTAGCAAGGCGAATGAAATCACTTTTCCAACCTGATCGAATCATTCACAATCTATTGCTAAGATTATCGCTATGGTAAGAATACAAGAAATTGGCATCAAATCAAAGCTAATTTAATATATTCCTGACCTCTTAAAGCAGCCATTTCTTCTAAATCTTCATCCATTGTATAATTTTACTACCTTACGTATTTACAGGATAATGAAATGATCCAATCCAATAGGCTTCAGGTATTAGCAATCCACCACGATTTGGTAGAGTAAGATCAAAGCTTTATTTTATAATGTCTAACTTGGCTGGAACATTCATGTAAAAGGAATGATCTCGAGCTGGAATTGAAATGACCAATGGATTAATCAATCAATCATCAGCACTAGTTGTGCTGGACGTCGGGAAATCAATTTTTCTTGACATTTCCATAGAGATGTAATAGCCATCTACTCTACAGTATAGTACAGTATAGGGTTTCGTATACCTGAACGGGTTGATACTAAAGCTGACTGATTTACAGTCACAGTAGTACCGGAGAGTTGTACTGTACTGTACAGTCTGTACAGTACTGTTACGTCGACTACAGTACAGTAAGCACAGACTGTGTACGATACTAGGTACGGTAGAAGAATGATTTAGTACTGTACAGTACTGTACTGTAGTCTGTACAGTAGATAGATTAATTAATTATAAAATGCAGAGGTCTTCATGGTCTGGTCTGGTCCGGTCCGGACCCTGGTCTTCCAGTTGTGGCGTATCACCCTGCCTACACTGGTGAATGATAACTGAGTACAGTACAGCAGAGTAAGCATCTCGCTACTGTAAAAGTATCAATGATGTCTCTACAATGTACAGTACACAGTGTACAAAGTACAATATACTGTACAGTACTGTACTGTACTGTACTGTACAGTACTGTCCGACACGGTACAGTACCGTACAGTATATTAGACTGTAAGAATTGGACTGTACCGTGTCAACATTCACTGTATTGCTTAGAAACAGTTCCGATCTCCTCCAGAAAACGCTAGCGTCTGGGATAGCGCATTCCTGTCCATATATATTCGGCCTGGTTGGTTTGATGCTAAAGGCGCCAACTGCAAACATGGGCGAAGAATTTAATTGGCAAGAATTTTTCGCACAAAATCGTCAACTGCCAGCTCATGATAATCGATATATCAACAATCAACACAATCCAAATACTCCTTTCTGCTTTCATATTAAATTAGTCGACAATATATTGGTACCACCGATTGAGGTATACAAGTCTAACTTAATACAGTATCGACTTCTCAATCGATGATGCGTCTTCAATTAGTTGATATATGTACAGTACGTATTTACAAAATAAAATTTGACATTCATTAAATAGTGCTTCTATCTCCAAGTTATTTTTACTTGTCGTAGATTTAAAGCATTTACTGAGGTTCGATATGCTGTACAGCCTTGGTGATTGTGTCTAAGAAATATCACCTTAATGGATAGACTTCAATATACTGTATTGTACTAGGATCACGACGTGTGTTTACGCATTAATTTCAAATGAAATTGATCAATTAATGTCAACATACGTAGTTCAAAAATTAAACTACGAGTATAATATCATTAAATTGATTAAAATCCATACGTTGTCCTTGATGTCTTTAAAAACGGCAAAATAGCTTGATCTAGACCTGCAGTGATAAAAACAGTTTACGAGAAATCTTCATATGGAATTGCTTAATCCGATCCCTTGAAATAAAATTTGCTAGATTAGTTGTATTACTAGTGACAAATGATATTGATATCAAATTTGGATAAAATTCGCTAGATTAGTTGTATTACTAGTGACAAATGATATTGATGTCAAATTTGGATAAAATTCGCTAGATTAGTTGTATTAATAGTGACCAATGATGTTGATGTCAAATTATGATATGACAGAAAACAAAAGTTATGAACTATAAGTGGATAGTGTTTCTTAAGATTCATTATATGAATTATCTTGTTACGTAAATGTTGCTAGATTTCTGACTTCGATGAGATAATTTTGAAAATGTAATGAATTTGAATTTGTAACCTACATTTCTGCGACTTTATATTTGTATACATTAGATCTATTTTTTGATAGATTGATAAATAATTGTAAAGTTATGTTTATATTATATTACTTAAGAAATTTCTTAATATTTCTACTTGGTTTAGGGTGAGTATAATTCTATACAATACCACTTAAGAGGTAGTTTCTACGATTCCACTTTCAAGCAATTCATTGGTAGCACATGGCATGGACCTGATGTTATCGGTATTAAGTTCGATGAATCTCATGCGCGACTTAGCTATAATCAAGTAAGTAAAGTGTAGATATAGAGCCAGAATGAAGGCACCAAATAGGCCTTATTTGTATTCATACTCATTGATATTAACCATGTATGGAATTAAATGTAGCATGATTCATGTAATTAAAATTGAAGTTTTAGCTTTGTAGTTGTTATATCAGAGACATTAATATACTCATACATTATACTGCAGATATGCTGACGGTATCATTGATTTAATAACGTAATCTCTTTGCCAGTATACAGTACATTTATTTACAGTATTTTAACTACGTAGCGGCCTGTATTTGATGACTCCTCAATTTGTGATGCAACTAATTAACGTCAATGCTTGATTAAGATAGTTGTAATACAAATTTTGTAATTTTTTATTCCAGCTAATATATTTTCATTCATCAATTAATGATCCAAGCCTTATTGGCGTTTTTGAAATCGTAGCTATAGGTATGCCTATGTTTTATTCAGTATAACTGTATCGTGTTTGTTACTATTTGACGTACGTAAATCTTTTCACCTATTGTATTGGAAGTATTAAAGTCGTGTTTGATTTCTAGTATTAATTACAAATCATAAATGAATATTTAGACGAAGAGTATATCTGATTAATTAGTATGCTAAATGTCGAAAAATCAATTACTATACGTTGTTTCGTTGCTAAAATAAAAGATGTTATACAAAATACGGTTTTAAATTCTTTCTTTTGCTACGCCTTAAAAATGGTGATTCAATATGTTCATTTTGCACTATGCGATAACAATCTTTGCGATACTAGATTTTAGTAAATTATCATAAAGTAAGTAATTCTGTTGGTTTTATGATCATGACTTGATTGAATGTATTCCCTACAGTATACCTCAAAGGCATGTAAACGCTAAGGTTTAATTACATTTAGACATATATTATGTACATTTTGCAGATATCCTTAGTGACAATAACGACTAGCATTGAAATAAAAGTAATCTACTGGCGTCCTCCCGTACATACTATACGATAATTTAGAAAATTGACTATACAACTTTTTATGTTATTGATTTGTCAGTTTAAACAATATTTTAAAGATACTATAGCAACGTGTCATATTCAAGTAAATAAAAAGTCCAAGTGCCATGGCGTCATACGTAATAAATTAGATATTACATTGATACTATTTAACTGTGTATTATAGTTGACTTTCATGGCAAAAGAGGACAACAGGCAGTAAATCGTGGCTGGGCTATTATTCGAATATTTGACTTAGCTCAAGAATTAGATGATACAAAATCGAATGCAGCAGAACAATTTAGAAGGTATGTATATGTACTAACATTTGTTCTTTCAGTCAAGATACAAGGTTCAAATAGATTTATTCATTTATAAAATATAACAATTTCATCAAGGACGATATAACTTTAAAATATTTACCTTGCTGACATAGGTTAAAAGTCTATCATGGAACACCACGAGCTCTTTGTTACATGTCTGAGCCGTTAGAAGGTTGAATTTAATTATGAAATGTATCAATTTGCTACGAATGCTAGCAACTAATACTAGAATCGAAATAGTAGCAAATTTAGAAAAAAATATTGTCAACTCGTTAATAATGCATATGAAAATACTCATTAATTTAGAAAACAATTTCCTGAAAGTAATTGATGGATGCACAATCACATTATCATTACGTACACATTCTGCAATGCGAAAAATATTACATTTATTACCCGAAAATGTAATGTTTTGTGGTGATGACCTTATACCTGGGTTACAATTGCTACCCAGTAAATCCAATGAAAGTAGGAAAGAATATGTTCATTATGCATTCATATATTAATTCATTCGGTCCGACGTATGAATATAATCTTTAAATGATCTTTAATCATTGTTCAGTTCCAGACTTGCTAAAGAAACCGAAATTATGTAAAACAATTCAATGTGCTGTTGACAAGGTACCTCACAAATATTTTGATGCACAAATATTTTGATGTTTTATTTTAGCACGCAATCAATGTTCGATAGTATTAAAATTATAGACAGACATGATTTGCAATTGGCATATATGCTAACTTAATTTAATTATATCAGCTTTCTATACTGGTTCATCCATCGATCGAGAAATTTGAAAATTTTTTATGTAATAAATTGAATGAAGATCGATTAAGAAAGGTAAAGAACACAGCAAGACTTACAATAAGATGATTTAATAGTGCATTCAAGGTTAAAAGCGCTTCTAATCTGAATGAATTTAAAATTGTCTTTTTATGTCAATCTGTAATGTTCAATATAGCTGAAGATTTCACACGATGGAAGGAATGTGTCCGTTCAAGATAGAAAATTACTCGTAAGCTGTTTTTATTTTAGAATTTATGATCCATGCACTGAGTTATAGAAAATTTTAATTCAACTGAGATGAATTAATTGCATTGTCATTATCCTTAATTATTAGGTTGGCATTCATAACGGCTGGAGTTATGTAGCTGAACCTCAGATTGTTTACCTCCAACCAGATAATAGTCAGCAGGCACCAGCTAGTCGAGCTGGACGCCGTCATTCATTTTCAAGTTCAGGACTATCAGTTGGTGGAGGTAGTAATTCGTTAGTAGCACGCAGTCGGTTAAAGTTAACAGAAATGGCAGACAGCGAAATGTATGCAATCGTCTTCCAGTTAGAATATACTATTGTAGAGCCAGCTCCTGCTCAGTCTGCAAAAGAGGTAATATTCGGAGATGACATAGAGTTAAAACTTCAATTCGTGATGGGGATAGAAATATTAAGTGTTGATTCTAATTGGCTCATCCCCAACTTAATAAAACAATTATAGAACACACAATATCAGCAGCCTTATGCTGTGGCGATAAGATGGTGTGCCTGGTGTCCAAGTAAA